ATTACTGGGTAGGCATTACATTGACTCTCATACCTTGTTTGCAAATATTGACAACAGTCGATGTAACAAATAAACAGTTTATTTAGATCCCCAAAATAGCAAGTAACTATATTATTCTTGTACATATTATATATTATATATATCACACAGGTTATTTCTAATCAATGTAATTACATTCAATCAAATTGAATCTCTAGCTAGCATTTTTTTATTCTACAACCACTACGAAACCCTCTCGAAATTCCTCTAAAAGAAAATTGTTTTATCGCTTTATTTTCTTTATTATCCAATATGTCCCTTATTATTATACTGTAATCCGGCTGTAAATTGTTTGATATAATGTTTATTTATTTATAGTTAGTTTTCCTTGTAATTTTCATTACTATCCTGTATTTTTACCTATAACCGCCTGAACACTATCTATGTATTATGTTATTATAGCTATTGCCCCGGGATATTTTTATTATCATGCCCAGTATAATTAAAAACATATTATCGATATGCAAATTAAGTCATATACCAGTTCTATTTGTTGATGTCAAGCCCGGCTATTTCTACTTGTGCCTATCTTAGTATTTACTAGATTGAAATTAGATTGTATGCTGTTGTTTTCTTTGTTGTTCTTGTTGTTTCCGATGTTATTTGCATTGCCTCCTGTTCTGGTCGTCAGTCGGTCGCCAATTGTTACGATAAGTGGGATTATTATATCGTTAGGGTTTGAAAGCAGAGTTTATTTCGTTAAAGACTACAACTTTTGTACATGCCGCCCATAGGAAACTATCGTAAATAGAAGACTAACAGTATACTGGCATGGAATGATCAATGATATCGATAAGAATAAATCATAAAAAGAAATATGAAATTGAAKAAAGAAAGAGAAAACAGAGAGAATTAAAGAATGGAGCAAAAAGAAACAAAGAAAAAGCTAGGAATGAAAGAGAATAGACAACAAAAAGAAGAAAAAAGGAAAAGGAACTAAGAATGATTAATGAARCAAATATGAAAAGACAGAACTAAAGAAAATGTGAAAAAGCAGGAAGACACGTWCGAATTGAACGCGACATCAAAATTTGTGTTGCATTTCAATAAGCGATTCAAATGGCTAAGTGGATCATTTTGAAAATAGCTCAAACACCAGCGGTATACGCGAGGAAGGAAAATGATGGCAAAAAGAGATAATCTTTCTTAGTCGCACAAATCGTCATGCAATCATTCTAAGCATTCGACTTTTTGATACTAAGTAAAAGTAAAAGTAATTTACTTTCTCACTGAAATATTGGATTACAATTAGCAACTTTCATCAATCGGCGCTTTCTTTACAATTTTTTTTTTCGTATTTTCATTTTGTAAGGATTACAGTATTAACTGTAGAATACATTGTGTTTCTTTATGAAGATATTTATATCAATAATACTAACCAGCGGCTAAAAAGGAAACGAACTTTCTATACTGTTGATGTAAATACTGCTTAAGCACTTTTTATCCCCCAGCTACTTATATTATATCTAATTTAAACTGTTTTTATTTTAAGTAACAAACATTTTTGGAGTTTCTGTCTAATGACCAAAACATTCTAGAACATTCGATCAATTCGGAACTCCTAAGTCTACAATATGTGCACTTTTTTAAGAGTAATTTGTATAGTTGGTAACAAAGTACTCAGTTTTGAGTTCTTTGGTGCAGCAATCCGTCTACGAGTTTTAGTTTTTCTTATAGTTAAGTTTCTTTGTTCCCTTTGTCGCAACAGAATATCATTGTTAATCACTGGTGCTTTGGTTCAACGCCTTTTAAAGTCTACAAAGTCTGTTAGAATCAATCTAGTTTGCCTTTATATGGCGATTTCTTTGGKTTGTACCGCATTAAAGGGAATGTTTCTTTACATTGAATTAGTGTGTGCAACTACTTCTTTTCCCTCGATTATTAGAACTGTTTTTGGAAGGATGAAAGCAGGATCACCATTTCTTATCCTTTGGATCTAAGGCGATCAGTGTGGCGGATCAATGT